TGAGTGCAGAGCCAGGAGTGAACCCTGAGCACCACCAGGTGTGGCCATAAACCAAAAACACAGAACAAAAAAGCAAAGAGGGGTCAGAAAGACAGCACAAGAGTTCAGACACTCGACTTGTGCATGTTACTAACCTCTGTCCAATCCCTAGTGCCACACAACATCCCTTAAGCACTACCAGGCTTGGTCCCTAATCCAGGAGTAAGCTCTGAGCACTGTTGGGTATGGCCGCAAAATTTACCAAAAAATATATATATAAAGGAAAATAAGTAATTTGAGGGCAGAGAAAACTCTACCCAATAGCAACTCAACCAAATGTTTCAATAGCAACTTGACCAAACTCTATCAAACCAGCGTTGTGCACCTGATGCCAGGTAAAACATACCTAATCTAAACCTGGTCCTGAGAAAAAGACTCAGACTGAGACACAGTCTGCAGAATCACTCATGTACTGGAACTCTCCGTGTTATGAAAGGCCACAAAGAACTGTTCCAGCTGTACAATAGGCTGAAGAGTAACTGATGTTTCATGTCACTGAATAAGGCCCTACACTATCAGGGCCTAAAGGCACTAATGCTATTGAAGAGCAATTAAAGTGATGAACAAATAACACTTGAGCTGTGCATCACATTCCATGGAAATATTTGACTGTATTGTTTAAAATTTCTTTTTAGCTTCTGAATATTTTAGAGGAAATTGTTACAAAAATGGGAAACTTTTGCAAGTGATTTTTATATGGAAATGCAAATAAACTAGAACAGCCAAAGGAATGATTTCAGAGCACTAACAGTAATCAATATTAAGAATTATTTTAAAGTTATTAAAAAAGTATGATAATGGTGCCTATATAAAATAGATCAAAAGGACAAAATCCATAAAAGGGTGTATTGAGATATGACTGCCTGCTTTATGCAAATTCTGAAGTAAATAGATCACATTTTAAATACATCATGTTAGGACAATTAGTGCTCTGAAAATAAATAAACATTGACTCACAGATTAAACTGGGTACTAAAATCAATTAGATATAAATCCTAGCCATAAATAGGGTGCTTTTTTTCTAAAGCTTTCAGAGGAAAATATAATAGTGGATTTTTATAATCTCTGGCTGGGCAAGAATATGATAAAAGAAAACACTGAATAATAATGTTCACAAAACACTTCTGAAGATGGGAAGGTAAATTATGAAGAGAAGACTTGATCTCTCTCTCTCTCTTTCTCTCTCTCTCTCTCTCTCTCTCTCTCTCTCTCTCTCTCACACACACACACACACACACACACACAGACTCATCAAAACTACATGTCAAGTTTCTCCACAGAAAGTGATAAATAGGCTGGTTTAAAAATGGCAAAGGATTTGAATGACATTTCATGAAGGCAAATATTCCAGTGGCTGGTAGGAATTCTAACAGGGCTTGGGGCCCTTAAATCAGAGAGAAATCTCATGGTGGCAAGTTGAGGCTGTTGCATTTTATTGAGGCTATCTGGGCCAAGGCTGCCTAGCCCACAGCTCCCCAGATGAAATCTCATCATGGCTATTACCTCCCCTAGACATATGCATTTCCTATGACCTAGAACTTCATTCCTCATTGGAGAATTAAGAGAATGAAACATCTTGGAGCAATCACAGACACGCAATGGCCAGGACGCATGGAGCATCAGCAGTGTTGAATGCCATGTCAGGGGGCATATGGAACGATGAACAGAGAGTCACTCTTGCCTGCAGTGGCTGGATGCATCTTGCAGAGAGTTTGCTCGGGAGAGACACTAGACAGGAAGTAGAATCTACTGCACCATGAAGTTCCCTGGTGGCCACGACGGGCTTTCTCTGACCTTCGAAGCGTGATTCGATGGATTTGCATCCATCTATTGATCTATTGGGATTGGATTGGCATTGACCTAATGATTGATTAGAATTGGCTTGGTATTGACCTATTGATCTATTGGAAGTGGGTTGGTGCAGACATATTGATCTATTGGCATTGGTTTAGTATTGACCTATTGGCGATTGGGATGGCCCAGTAATAGAGTGGGAGGTCCCTAAAAGGATACTTTACTTCCCTCCCCTGCTTAAAGCATATAAACTTTTTATTTGCTAAAGGAAGTCAAGGGCCAGGGAGATAGCTCAGTGGTCTGGAGCTTTGTATGTTGGAGCACATACTTTTTAAGCTTTTGATGATTCCACAAATACCACGTGGTCTTCAGAGAACCCCTGAGAACAACCTCAGAACCCAGCTCCCAGTACTACCAGGTGTGCATCCCTAAAAGAAATCAAGGAACTCAGCTCTCAGTGCCTGGGACGATAGGAAAATGTCATAAAGAAGTGAATGACCATAAACATACACTACCTTTCTTCCTCTCTCCCCTTCCTTCCTTCCTTCCTTCCTTCCTTCCTTCCTTCCTTCCTCCCTCCCTCCCTCCCTCCTTCTTCCCTCCCTTGCCCCTCCTTCTCTCCTTATTTCTGAGCCACACCCAATTCTAGTCTCAGTGCCCAGGCTGGTGCTGGGGATTCATCTTGGGTCTCAGCCTCGCTCTGTCCTTGGAGCTGCCTCACTGGTGGGCACCTGGTGCTCACAATTCCCCAGACACTGTGGAAAGGGGCACACTTTGAGCCCCAGACCAGGAATGTTTCTCTTTGAGATTTGAGCTAAAGTCTTCATGATTACACATGACCATCCAAAATCAGAACCTCCAGTTCCCAAGATCACAGGTTGATCACAACTACTGCCATTTCAGAGTGGGGAGATTCTGTTCAACCAAAAACCCGTGAGCCAGAAAGCTGGGCCTGCAACTGCCGGAGGCCCCGTCCTGAGCCCAGGGTTGCTACAGCAGGCACCAGACTGGAGAAATCTGAGGGGCTTCCTGGGCGGGAGACAGGCTCAGCCCCTCCTTCTCCAGCAGATGTTTCCTTGCTCTCAAATGCAGTGCTGAGGGGAGCTTCTCCTGGGCCCAGATGGGGTGCATCCAAGGAGTGGGCATTTCTGGGGCCTCTCTCTGCCTCTCTGTTTCTCTTCCTCCATCTTTCCCTCTCTGGCCCTCTCTTCCTTTCCATGCCTCCCTCTCTCTGTTTTCCTCCTTCTCTCCCCCTTCCCAGTCTCTACTCTCCTTTCTCTCCCTCCTCTCTCCCTCCCTATTAGACATTGGGCCAGAACAGCTGGCTATCAGAGGGGACAGTGTGATGCCAGTGATCCAGCCCAGGGCCTTGAACATGAAAAGCAAATATCCACTCCTGGCCATTCTCTGTCCCTGTCTTCGTCTGTCTCTCTGTTTCTTCCCCCACCCCAATATGTTGCCACAGGTCTCCCCTCTCCCCATCCAGATCAACCAAGGCAAGGGAGAAAAATCAAAGCCTGAGAGTTGTCCTTCAGATATGGGCAAGATATTTTTTTTCACACTTGTTATTTACACACACACACACACACACACACACACACACACACACTCACCAATCTTCTTCCCAGGACACATCCTGGGAAAGGGCCTTTCTGGGTGGTATCCAGCTAAGTGGGATGATCCTGGACCCCGAAAAGGGGCAAACACTCTCATGAGGGTGATAGCTGGCCACGGGGCACAGAAGCAGACTCAACAACACGGTGCCTGGTGTAAAAATAACTACATTTTCTTCCCCGCTGATTGAATTGTAAAAACATCACAACACACTTCTCATTATACCGATCATTTCCATAAACATTCTGCTATGGGACTGTTTTTATTATCAGGAAGCTGGAAGCATTTCCACACTTGCCCAAGTAATAAAGACCAGAGCAAGGCCTCTGAAACTTGGCCTGGAGCGTCTGACTGAGTTTGAGCTCAGCTGAGTCCCACTGACTGCGGGGCTGGTGTAGATCTGACTTGAGTGGCCCAGTCTCTTAGCACCTGTGCTGGGGGAAACTTGGCATCATTTTCTGCTCTGCCTTTCTCTTCAGAAGGGAAAGGAGGTCTGGGCATGGAGCTCAGTGGTTGACCCCTTTCCTTGTCTATGCGAGGCCCTCCCTTTCATTCCCAGCACCCCCTACCCCCAAGACGGGTCAGGGTTTAAATGAGCTGATCGTATGCAAAGCCCTCACCTGTTGTGTCCTAATATCCGGTTGCTATTTTTAGTTAGATTCCTGGGACCATGTGAACCAGGGGCCACAGGAGAATGACTCCCCTTGACCTCCAGTTTGCTTTCAGCACACCCAAAGCGGGCGAGGAGAGGCCAGCCGGTTCCAGAGGCACCGGAACGGGCTCAAGCGCCCAGAGGCGCCGGCGAGACAGCCCGCGCTCCAGGTGGAACTTGCTAAGGGATTTCGTTCCCTCGGCTGGGACTCGGCTTGGGGCGGCCCGATGCAGGGGTGTTGTCTCCCCGAAGATAGTCCTGGGTAGGGACCTTTCGTCTGAGCAGAAGTGGGGGAAACCAGGGAAATGCCAGAGCGGGGTCCCCAGCTGGAGCTGGCAAGACGGAGCGTAGCGGGGCAAGACGCCTTCCGGGGTGCAGCCTCCGGCCCCGCTTCCCGAGCGCTCCTGCCCCGCCAGGGGCGTGGGCGGAGACCGGGCACTTTCGGGCTCGGCGTGTTCATGCCCCGGGCCCATTTTTGCCGCTTTGTCTGACAGTGGCTGCGTGCCCCCGTGAGCTGTACGTCTGGCCAGGAGGGCCGGCAACAGTCAGACGCGGCCTCGGCGGGCGGGACTTTCCTTGCAAGTGTCCCTGCAGCGAGGCCGCGAACTTCGGGGCTTTCTCGGGGCCGCGCCGGGAGGGGGTGGGCGGCGGACCCCCCACCGCGCCCCGGTCCGCGCGCCGCCCTCTCGCCCTGGGCCGACTCGCTCTCGGGTGCTGCTGCGGGCGCTTCTCGGCGGGTCCCGGGGCGGCGCCGGCCGGTCGCCGGGACCCTCGCCGCGCCCCCGGGCTCCCGCGTCCTCCCGCCCGCCGAGCCCCGCCCCTCCGGCCGCAAACTCCGAGTCGGTCCCCGCCCGGCCGGGGCTGCGCGGCGCGCGGAGCGAGTCTGGGCCCCCGCGGGGACCCCGGCGCCGCCCAGGCCTCGGACCCGCGCCCGCCATGGCCGCCAAACTCCTGCTCCTGCTCGGCCTCTTCTCGGGCTTGCACGCGCGGTGAGTGCGCGGGGCGCGGGGGGCGCTGCCCGCGGGCGGGGGTGGCGGGGGCTCCCCGGCTCGAGTCTTCGAACCGGGCGTCCGGGAGGTGCGGGAGCCCCGGGTGGCGGGTCCCCCAACAGGCTGCGTCCGCAGCCCCCGCAGCGCGCGGGGCACCCCCGCCACGGACCGCACGCGGGGTGTTTCCCTCGCGCGCTCCGCGTTCCGGGGACTCCTGCCCGCCCCCCCCGGTCTCGGCAACTGCGGGGCCGCGGGTGGCTGGCGGTGGCGGCAGGGGGAGGGGCTGGGGTAGGGTCCCTTCGCCTCAGCCTGCAAGGGCCAGGGCGCCCGGACTCCCGCCTGCCCCTTCTCACGGGGAGTTCGCAGCCCCATCCCCACGGTCAGCTCCTCGCAGTGGCCCCTGACGCTTGTCTGCCCCTCACGGAGGGAGGGGGTTGAACCCAGAACTGCCCTTGGCCAGCTTTGGGGCGCTCAGAAAGGCTCCGGGGAGGAAGGGAGGGAGGTTCCTGGGACCCCTCCCCCCAGCGCGCAGCAAGGGTTAAATCCTGTTGCTCTCAGAGTAAAGGGAGATTGTGGGGTTCAGCCTGCCGATGAATCTGCTCTTGGCAATTCTTTCCGTGCCCCTCTTCTGCACCCCCAGAAAAATCAGGGCACACCTCCCCATCCTGTCCCCAGATGCCCGGTTTGGAGGAATCCACACTTCCCAAGCAGCCAGAGGCCACTGGCACCTGTCCACTGGCACCTGTGAGGGACCCCAGAAGGCACAGGTGGGGCCCATCCTGAGAGAAACTAGGGCCCCCTGAGCTTTACTTTGGCAGGGACGTGGGGGTCCTGCCCCTAGCCCCCCTGCTGGTCTGAATGAATGGCCATGTCTAAGCAGCCCCGCAGAGCCAGGTTGGTCCTTCAGAGAAGTCTTCTGTGGCGAGGCCTGTGGGAACCCCTGTCAGAGGTACCAGAGGATGTTTGAAGGCAGAGAGGGAAGCCCTGTCTGAAGAGTCTTACTGTTGGCCTGAAACTTGGGGTTCAGGGATCCCCCTGCCTGCAGACACTTCCCCTGTTCCCAGGAAGTGGTCCCACTTTCCACCCTTCTGCACGGGGGCTTTCTGGGTTTCCCAGTGAGCTCAGAGCCCCCACCATTCACCGTCTGCTCTTTGGCTGAGGGGTGTTGAAGAGTTTGCAAAACCTTGGACAAACCTCAGTCAATGGTGTTTGGAGAGAGAAATCTAAATTTTCAACCAGTTTCCTTGTAGCCTGGACCCCCTTGGAAAGCCTCTTTGTTCCTTGAATGGCTTAAGCCCACTCACTGAACACTCTGGAATCAGCCACCTGTCCAGCCTGCTGGGCCCAAGGTCTGCCTCCTGGAGGGAGCAGCTCTTCCTTGGCTCCCCGACCCCCTCCCCCTGGAGTACAGCCTTGAAGATGCTTAAGTGCTTTCTGGGGGCTCAGGCTTCAGAACTCCCTTTGAAGTTTAAAAATACTCCCAACTCTTTGTCTCTGTGCTTGGGGTAGAAGAGGTGTGAGACCTGAAAATAGCACCTGGGCCCTGCTCGCAGACACTCAGCAACCCCCTGACAGTTTTGCTTTGTTCAGGGGATGCTGGTGGCTGCCACCCTTCACCCAGCCCTCCTGCAGGAGCAGGGCAGAGAAGGACCAGTGTGGTGAAGCTTAGATTCTCGCTGCTGTTGGGTCGCGGGCGGGTGCGGGTGCGGGGTTTGGTTTTTGTGTTCGAAGTCTGGGAGCACCCAGGTTGCTGTCCTTCCTCCCCTCTCACCTGGGCTGGCCTCAGCGGCTGCGGCTTATGCAATTGCAGGAAAACCCCCTGGCGGCCACGAGGGGGCGAATTCGGCTCAGCGCAAAGCGCTCATTCGGCTCAGTACAAAGTGTTTTGTCTTCCAGGCAGGCAGCGTCTGCAGAGCTGCAGCTGCTGATCCTGGGAGCACTGGGGCCAGAGCTCATGGCAGAGAATGAAGGGCCTGGTGTCGAGTGCTCAAAGCTGTGTGTAGGGGAGGGAAGAGAGGAGATGAAGAGGCTGAGAGACAGCAGAGGGAAGACAGGCGGGCATGGCAGACAGGCAGAGCCTCCTCTGTGCTGAGGAGGTTTGTGGAGTGCTGTTTAGGGAATCCCTGGCCCCAGTCCCCTTCCTAATGCCCTTTCCGTCAAGTTTCCCACACCCTACAGGGCCTGCTGCTGGGGTCAGGGAAATGGCTCTGAGCACTGGAGCTTGAGTAGTATATGGTGGAGCCCCAAGTAGGGTCCCTGACACTGAGGGCTTTGTCAAGCACTAAGTGCCCCCCCCCATTTTTTTTTAAAAAAAGGAACTGCTTCATGTTATTCTTTGTTTAGAAAGAGAGAAAATGTTCATTTCTGAGAAGATTCCTGATAAAGTGATTTTTCATTTGGGGGCCATTCCCAGCAGTTCTTGGGGCTAACCCCTAACTCTATGTTAGGGTCACTCTTGGCAGGCTCTGGGGAATATATGGGGAACCAAGGATCCAACTCCCTACCCACTGTGCTATCTCTCTGGCCCCAAAAGTGCTCTCTCTCTCTCTCTCTCTCTCTCTCTCTCTCTGCATTGACATTTAGTATTTGATAATGCTGTCAGTGAATGTTTAGCTTTTTGAGGAATGACCTCAAATTTTCCAAGTTCCTCTTAACAGCAAATAGTCAGTGTCAATAAAAGTCCACAGTGAATGGTTTGTAAGGACTTTGGGCCTCCTAGCAAAAGGAATGGGCATATAACTTCATACCAGGAGTCCTGTGCCCTGGGCGGAATTCTCATGTACCTGTGTCCACATACCACCTGATCCAGTGCTTCTCCATGTTTCTTGCCATGAGCTCCTAACAACCTGTTTCCTTCCTCTGTCCTTTTTTATCTCATGCCACAGTCCCCATGGTCCCCATTAATTACACAGTTGTCACCTATGTCTCCCTCCCCCCCGAATATCCTGGGGACCCACAGTGGACCCTAAGACCCCTGGTCGAGAAGCGCTGGCCTAGCTTGTTAGACATGACTCAGGGATGTTGATTCTGATAAAAAGCTCAAGTTTGTCCTGCATAGTATATACATTGAGAATCACACAACATGCTATGTGTGGGCCTTGGTCGCCTCAACAAAGTAAAGGTTGATTTTACCAACTTGGCACCTATTTCATGTCTACAATGAACCATTTTGATCATTCCAGAAAAGTAACTTAAGGAAGCTTGCCCCAGGCATGATGACCTTGACGAGAGTTTGTGTGAGTGCCTTCTGTCCGGGAAGGTCAGAGAGAAAAAACAGAGAGCACTGTCACCCCCCCCCCCCCCCCGGGCGGGGGGAGGGCAGTACAGGACAGGGGGATGATGTTTGCTGTTCTGTGAGCCCCAGTGTCTGTGGGATAGCACCCACTGGTCAACTTAGGGCCCCTCTGCTTATAGAACTGCTGTCAGTGGGGGTCATCTGGGAAGGGGGTGCTGCCTTGCTCAGAGACACCCACGTGCATTTGGATCCATCAAGATGGGACCAGGAAGAGTCTGCAGAAGCAGTTCTTGAGTCTGTCCTGTTTGCATCCCACTGTTGGTGGAGCCAGAGGGAGATGTTTGCCCACTGACACCTTCTCCTTGACCCCATGTGAGACTGGTACCTGGGCAAGCGAGAAGGTGGTGGCCTCCTGGGCGTGCAGACCAGAGTCCAGCCAAGCCAGCATGTGACAGCCCAGAGTCCAAGCTGACTTCTCAGGCTGGTGTTCTGCCCCAACTTTACTCTTCTGCATCCAGATCTGGGAGCAGGGGGTGGAAAGTTCATGACTAGCACCCCCCCGCCCCCCCCCCCCCCCCTTCAGAGAGGCATTGGGAGGGAGCTTGTGCCTGGGCCTCTGGAACTCACCCAGTGAACACAGGAAGCTGACCATCTCTCAGGTCCCTGTTCACAGCCCCTGCTTGAATTTGAAGTTGGATGCGTTTGGGCCCATTTCTCATGGATTCTGCCATGTTTGTAGCCAGCACTTTTCATCCAGCTGGTTCTGTTGGGGCTTCCAGTTTTACTTTCAGAGGAAATTTGCTGATTGGATGGAGGGAGGTGGGGAATTTGAGTGGATTTTTGGGGGAGGGGGTTCTCGGGAATCGCAAGCGTGCCTCCTGCTGGGGCCCTTTGCTGCTGGTCTGCTCACACTTTGTACTGTGACTGCAGGTCCAGGAAGGTGGACGAGGATGAATACGAAGATTCCTCTTCAAACCAAAAGTGGGTCTTAGCTCCCAAATCCCAAGACACCGATGTGACTCTTATTCTGAACAAGTTGCTTCGAGAATATGACAAGAAGCTGAGACCGGACATTGGAAGTGAGTGTTGATTGGCATGGCAACCAGGAGGTTTCCTGTGATAATTCAAATTTATTTATTGGTTTGGGGTCGGCTATGTTGGCTGCATGCAAGGCAAACGCCCTACTGCTGTGGAGCGATAGCACAGCAGTAGGGCGTTTGCCTTGCACGCAGCCAACATGGCCGACCCGAGTTCGATTCCTCCGCCCCTCTCGGAGAGCCCGGCAAGCTACTGAGAGTATCTCGCCTGCACGGCAGAGCCTGGCAAGCTCCCCGTGATGTATCGATATGCCAAACACAGTAACAACAAAGTCTCCAATGGAGACGTTACTGGGCCCGCTCGAGCAAATCGATGATCAACGGGAGGGCCTTTACCTTTACCTTTACCTTTATTGGTTTGGGGTCACACCCAGTAGTGTTCAGGGATTACTCTTGGCTTTGTGCTCAGAGATCACTCATGGTGGGCTGGAGGGATCATATGGGGTGCCGGGAATTGAATCCAGGTCAGTCATGTGCTAGGCAAGTGCTTTACCCATTGGACCATTACTCTAGCCCCTATAATTTTGATTTCTTTTTTGTTTTTCCAGGAATATTTATTGAGACAATGTGTTTTACAATGTTGTTCATAATAAAAGTTGTTTCATACATACAACATTCCATCATCAACCCATCATCAATGTCCTCTTCCCTCTACCAAATTCTCTCCCAACCCTTGGCAGGCATAAGATACATTTATTTCATAGTACTTGATCCAGAGCAATAGCACAGTGGGTAGGGCGTTTGCCTTGCATGCGGCCGACCTGGGTTCAATTCCTCTGTCCCTCTCGGAGAGCCCTGCAAACTACTGAGAGTATCCTGCCTGCACAACAAAGCCTGGCAAACTACCCATGACGTATTCAATATGCCAAAAACAGTAACAACAAATCTCACAATGGAGATGTTACTGGTGCCCCCTCGAGCAAATTGATGAACAATGGGAAGACAGTGCTACAGTGCTACTTGATCCATTGAAACTTAAAGGAATCTCAAATAGAATGATCAGAAGAATAAATCAGTGAAAGTCGATTTGTGATGATGAATTCTATGTTTTCAACCTTTCTTAATATAATAGACATCCATTTGCACTATTAGTAATATACTCAGTGCCACATGATAGGAAGTTTCTCCTGTGCTTTAAGAAGCTCTTTTAATCATTCTTGCAAAACTGCTTTCTAGGCTGTGGATTCCCTAAGCTTTCACCTGTCCGTGAAGCTCTGCATCGTTCCTTCAAATCTGAACGATAATCTAGCTAGATAGAATATTTCTGGTGGGGTGGTCATTTCATTGAGTTCATCCATATTCTTCTGGCTCGGAGTCTCATTTGATAGCTCTGCTGTACATATAATGAGCTTTTGTACATTCTTTTATCTTACTGCATTCAACATTCTGTCTCTGTCTTTGGACTTTGTCATTTTGAGTCTGCTGTGTCTTGGAGTTTTTCCGACTGGGTCTCTGGGACCCTTCAGGGATCTTGGATCTCGGTGCCTGTAATTCTCAACTCTGGGAGGTTCTTATCATAATTTCTCTATGTTTTCTTCCTCATATTTGCCTTACTGTTCTTCAGGAACTTTGATAATCCTTATATTGTTCCTATTTAACTCATCTTATAGTTCTCTGGTATGTTATTTCTTTTCTTTTTAGACTATTTCCCATCTTCTGCTGTTTTCTAGTGGTTTCCTCCTCACCTTGGAGTCCCTCGATCTTTTGCTCAGCTTCTGTTTGTTACTCTGCTGTTCAGGGCTTCTATTGATTTTCTTATATCACCTACCGTGTTCTTCATTTCTGAGTGCAGTAGCTTTTTCATTTCAGCTCTCATACTTTATTGTGCTTTGCTGATTACCTATGCTGTCATTTCTTTGAACTCATTGGACAGCCTCCTCATAGTGTCACTAAAGACACTGTCAGAGGATTTGAGGATGTTGTTCATGTCTTCGGTGATCTTGTTTTTGCTCATGAAGCTTGGTGGGATTTTATGTGTTTTCCCCATTGGTTTTCTAGTGTTCTTGCTGTACTGGGGGGGTGACTCCCCCCCCCCCCCCCCAGCTCCCCACTGCCCTGGAGAATACTAAGGGATTAAGATGGAGATTGCTTTGTCTTCTCTGGGATGGTGGAGCTGCAGAGGTCAGGCAGGAGCTATGGTTTTGGGCCCTTAATGTGGCATAGGTCAGGTGTAGAGGCTGTTGGGACCTACTTTGTAGGGAGAGGCTCAGCCTCCTATTCCAGATAGGCCCAATGACATTAGTTGGAGGCCAGCCTCACCTGGGATGGTGGAGCAGCAAGAAGAAGGTCTTATTGTTTTCTAAATGTATTTAAACACCGTGATTTACAGGGCTGTTTATCATATAGTTGTTCTGAGTAGTCTGATCTTCCAGCACCAATTCTACCACCAGCATGCCCTTCCTGCCATCCTTGACCCCAGTTTCCTATATACCCCTAAGCCTGCCTCCTTGGCATGCACCAAATCATTTTATGTTGCTGAGGATTTACTGAGCTGTGTGCTGCTAGTGGACCTGGACCTATCATTTTAATTCGTACTTAATTTCTTTGGAGAGGGACCCCGGGGCCACTCCCAGTCACACTTTGGAAAGTCAGGCTTGGTTTTTCCATGTTGGGCTGAAGCTTTGCAACTGCCCAGGCCTAGGGGGTCACACACCCAGCAGTGCTCAGGGGACCGTGTGGTACTGGCATTTGAATTTAGTCCTGTGCTCAGAGAATAGGACTCTAGGCCTAGAACAGTCCCCCCACCCTCCGCCCTTTATTTTGTATTATTCCAAGAGATATTTCTAAGAAGCCACAAGGATGTGGGGCTGGGCCACCATTTGTGACAGCATGCAAGTAGTGTGTGAGCCACGCAGGAACTGATGTTCTCGTGTGTGTGTGGATTCATTCTGACATGCTGTGCTGCTTTGTCTTACGGCCAACTGCAGTCAAGACCACTACAGAATTGTCACCTTGCCACAAATCTCTCCCTTCCTTTAGAACCCCATCTGCCTCCTTCCTCCCCACTTCCTGATCCATCTCAGCCATGGATTAGTCCTGCCCTTCTGCATTGTCATTGTTTTGAGACTCTTAGAAGTTTGTAGTCCATCAGACACAACTTTTGGAGGCGAACTTTTCTTCCCAGCAAAAAGAGTTCTGATCAGATTGTGTGGTCCAATATCTTCACAATTAGATGGATGGCAGTGTGTGCATTTACGGAGTGAGAAACTTTGTGGTTGCTTTCATTTTTTGTGTTTTTCACAAAGCAATTGACTCTGGACGTTTGAAGTAAACAGTCCACAGATTAGTACAGGTGAAGAACTATGGGAACTGACTGTAGACTATGACTCCTGGTCTACGGGCAAGAAGGCAGGACCGATGCCCATCTCAGGTTCACAGAGACTGGAGAATGCTGCACTCTGAGAAATGTGTGCAGTTCTGGATTGTATAATATAAAACTATGTGTCTGGTAGATTGTTTTGGTTCAGGGACCGTCAGACTTTTGTCCCAGTCGCTGTATTCTTGTATTCCCACCAGCAAAGTATGGGGCCTGATTTCCTTGTCTTGATCAATAATTGGTATTGTCACTATGTTTAATTATAGCGATGTTTAACTCTGCTAGGTTGATATCTTGTTGTGTTCTTAATTAGCATTTCCCCATTGGTTAGTGGCTTTGGGACTCTTTCATATGCTTATTTGCCTTCAGCAGATCCTCTTCATTGAAATTTCGTGAGAGTTCAGAGATAGTATAGTGGGTAGGGCACTTGCCTGGTTTGTGACTGAATTGAGTTTGATCCCCTGCGCTCTATATGGTCTCCCAACCCCAGTGATGCCAGGAGTAATCCCTGAGTACCTCCAGATGTGGTCGCCCCTCAAAAAAAAAAGTAAAATGGCTCCTTTTGATATTTGCCCCTTTAAAAATTGCTTTGTCTTATTTTTTCTGTGGCACATTAAGAATTCTTCATATATTCCAGAAACCTCCTTTCCTAGAGGTCTCTTGCAATTTTTGTCTTGCAGCAGAGAGATAAACAGACTGAGCACATGCTTGGCATGCAGGAGACCCGGGTCTGAGTCCCAGTTCTGCATTGTCCCCTGAGCACTGTGAGGTGCAGCCTCTGTGCTCTGAGCTGTCACCTCAAGTCCACCAGGTGTGACCTCAAGACAAGGACCAACCAAATTTTCCTTTCCATCTGAAGCTTCCCCCTGATCTTCTTGTAATAGGTTCATTCATAGAAGAAAGGTTTTTATGTTTTAGTAAGTATGATCTATTGATTTCTTTTTCTCTTACAAGATGTGCTTTTGGAGTAATGTCTAAAAAGACCATGAATCTCAAATTCCTGGATATTTTTCTCCTTTTCTTTTTTCTTGTTGGCTTTTGGGTGACACCTGGCCAATGCTCAGGGGTTAGTCCTGGATCTTCACTCTGTAATTACTACTGGTAGTGCTTTCAGGACCATATGGATTGAACCTGGGCCGGTCATGTGCAAGGCTAATGCCCTACCTGCTGTACTATCACTTTGTCCCCTCCTTCTTCTGATAGGTTTATGATTTGCATTTTAATTCATTATATATTCTGAGTTAACTTTTCTGTAAGATCAAGAGGTGAGACTTAATTTACGTCTTGTTTTAATTTTTCTAGAAATATCTTGTTATTCCATCACCATTGATTGAAAAGACTATTCTTGCTCTGTTGAATTGTGTTGGTACAATTGGGTGCTTGTCTTGCTTGTAGACTCCAGGTCTGTCTCTGGCACCAAATATAGTCCCCCAAATTTCTGCCCAGAGTTAAAGCTGAACATAGAGCCAGGATCAGCCTCTGAGAAATGTTGGGTGTGCCCAAACTCAGGTCCCCTCAAATCAGTTTGCCAGTTGATGGTGTGAGCTATTTCTGAGAACTCTATTTTGCCCCATTAATTGAAAAATCTTTCTTGTGAGAACCAAGTCACTATAGCTGTGAAAGTCTTGAAATTGGGTAGAGTAGTTCAGCCATTTAACTTCTCTTT